GAGAGAGAGAGAGAGAGAGAGAGAGAGAGAGAGAGAGAGAGAGACAGAGAGAGAGACAGAGACAGAGACAGAGACAGAGACAGAGACAGAGACAGAGACAGAGACAGAGACAGAGACAGAGACAGAGACAGAGACAGAGACAGAGAGAGACAGAGACAGAGAGAGACAGAGACAGAGAGAGACAGAGAGAGACAGAGAGAGACAGAGAGAGACAGAGAGAGAGACAGAGAGAGACAGAGAGAGAGACAGAGAGAGAGACAGAGAGAGAGACAGAGAGAGAGACAGAGAGAGAGACAGAGAGAGAGACAGAGAGACAGAGAGACAGAGAGACAGAGAGACAGAGAGACAGAGAGACAGAGAGACAGAGAGACAGAGAGACAGAGAGACAGAGAGACAGAGAGACAGAGAGACAGAGAGACAGAGAGACAGAGACAGACAGACAGACAGACAGACAGACAGACAGACAGAGAGAGAGAGAGAGAGAGAGAGAGAGAGAGAGAGAGAGAGAGAGAGAGAGAGAGAGAGAGAGAGAGAGAGAGAGAGAGAGAGAGAGAGAGAGAGTAAGTTACATTATAAAGACAGGTAAGTCTAACAAATGAGGACTGAGACCTCTACAACAGGGTTTTTACGCCTGAAAGCAGGTGCATGATTTAACAGCAGGTTGTCAGTCTAGATTTTATGCGCAGATGGAGAAAAAGCGCAGAATTTTTGTAATGAGATGAAAAGCAGAAATAATAAGAAATAATAAGAAAAGATGAAATGAAAGCCTGCTCACAACCCCGCCCAGCCTTGCGAACTGGGTATGGTGGATTAAGAACCCGGTTCAACGCTCGAGCAAGCGCTCTCCACTCAAGGTGTTCACAGCAACTGATAGGAACTCATATGGGGAAATTATAGAAAAGAAATAATAAGATAAAGAGAATAAATTTCAACGCACCTCAATAAACGGAGCCCCACATACAGTACCTCAGAAAAGTGGATCTTCCGACCAGTGTTTTTGTTGACGCCGCAACCAGATGATGTAGCTGCTTCGCAGAGACGTCTTACTGCACAAATTACAAATAAATTTTATTCTTCGATTAGAAAATCCAAGCGCTTTCAGAGCCCTCCGAAGAGAGTCCGGATGAAACCACGCACACCTACCTCAACCGAAAAAGAAACGACCTGCCACCCGTTTGCTCGGCATTGATCGGCCAGATCCGCATACCGCCTGTCCTTCCGCGAGTTACTGACACTGAATCTGTCCTCAGCACAAACTGTCAACTCCATCCAGAATACAATCCTACGACTCGTAGAGTACAGAACTATATCTGGTCTTAGGGTGGTAAGTGCAACACAGCTAGGGAAAGAAATCTTTGCACTAACTGAGTCGACAAGAAGTTTCCAGTCTGAGGCCGCTGACAGGAGATCAGTCGTAACCAGCTTTCGTCTGGGCTGAACGCGAACTGGCTTCTCTCCCGCCTTGCAAAACGAGATGAAGTCAAGCTCATTTGAATTTTCGGTTTGTACGGTGTTTGCAGCAGTGCGGATTCGAATCTCCTCACGCATGTTCCTGACGATGACCCCGAGTACGTTGTCGTGCCTCCAGGTGTAACGTCCCTGGTCCAGCGCTACGCGACAAGCGCCAAGCACGTGGCGCGTAGTACAGGCCCAGGTACGGCACAAACTACAGTACGGATCCACTACGGTGTTTCCCCAACGGCGTAGGTTCGTCGGAGAAGGTAGCACGTCGAGGGTTGATGCGAGAAGAAATTTCAAATCCTTACCAGTACCACCGTACAAAAGGGATTTCCACGAGAGGTCCTGCCACATCACCGATGTCCACTCCAACCACTTGCCTTGCACCTGAAGAGTCTTCAGCCTCAAAATCTGCTCCTGCGCGTTGATCTCCTCAAATGTTTGAAGGAAATCCTTCCTCGGGGGTTTGGAATGCTGCTTCGGAGCACGAGCACCCAACCCTGCACGATGACTTGAAGATGACGGTGGACGGAGAGTCCCTGAACCTACTGATGCCTCTGCACACTCCAGCTCTATTGTCGCCGCATATCGCTTTGTCAGCTTCGCATCCTTACTCCGACGCAGAGTGTCCAGCGCCCTCATGCGCGCGTCCCCACTCGATCGAAGAATGTGCCATTTGATGGACTGGCACTTTTTCCACACCGTAGGAAGGTAGTGGAGGCGTAAGCCAAAGCGTTTGCGACTGCCAATAAAAGAATGGCAGAGTTTGCGCATCGAGGTAGGCCTGACCATTTCTTCAGAAATGGTAAACACATAAAGTGCAGTTCACGTACAAAACCTTGTGTGAGTTCAAGAACCTGGAAAGACCAAGAAAGCTTGGGCACTACAAGATGGTGGTAAAGCCATAGCTTGTGGTGGTCTTGAAGCCAAGAGCCATCTACTTTTTGCATGAGAGATACAGTGAGTTGACGGATGTCTTCCCGCTGGGTCTGCTCAGAGCAATCAGCATGCAGCCTTCGCCCCAGGAACTTGAACTCTGCAG